ATATATATATATATACGTAAGGGGAGTACAAGGAAACGAGATTTTACTGACGAAGAAAACCGAGAAAAGTCTCTCGTTTCACGTTAAGAACGCAAATATGTTGATAAGGACGGAATAAAAAATCCATACGATAATGCGACAATCTGTAATCAGGTTTTCATCACAACGCAAAATAAACTGTGCCATTATCGTGTATACTAATTCATCTCTTATCTCTTTCACGTAGAATGTAATTCGAAAGTAATTATGATGGTAATGCCATAAATGCTATTCATTCCTATTTATTTTTGTTCAAAAAAATGTATTTAAAAATGTAAAATTTATCATTGTGCACATATTTAACATTTTTATGTATAAAGCTGCTTAATATTAAATATACATATTACTTGCTATGATTGTAAATATACGAGTATATATTATATTATATATATTATATATATTATATTTTTCTTCAATTTACATTCATATTTGAAGTTATATAATTTAAACGGTTTTTAAATTTTTTCTCTCTATAAAAAACTTGAATTCTCCAAATAAAATTTTAAAAATAATTTGTTTTTTAAATAATTTAAAGAGGAAAAGAAAAGGAGAATAGAGTTTAGACATTTTTTATAAAAGTACATACCTTAAATTTAATTTATATAATTAAATATTAGTTTCTGAGAAATATTTAATTGTAAAATACCGTAAGTGGAAATATCGAATAACGTTAAATGGAAAAAAATCGGAGCAAAAGGTGCAAAATGAAATAAATTATAATCAAATTAATAACAGCTGCAGAGATCTCTCGGAAAATGCATTCGAATACAAGTAACTCGTAATTAGAGATGTAAAATACACGTTCGTCGATTATTTGCGAGTCTATAAGCCATAAAGGATTTAATTGTTTCTATTACGATTCTCGCGAAATTAAATATTGGAATTCCCTATGAGACTCATTAACGCTTTATAAGTTGTGTGAATTTTATTGCGTATTTGTTAAATGGCATTCAGACACATATTCACGCGTCCGTGACTCTTACCTCGCCAAATCCACGTTCAATATCGAAAAGTCGCGTGCAACGTTGTATGATTCGGTCAGTATTAACGTAATACGTTATTTCGTTTCACAGTTATTCTAGCTGAAGAAAATTCTATAACGACAAAATGGCTCGTATTCCGCGTCGTTACTTATGCGCATATTTTATTTTCATCTTACGTTACACCGAATGCATCCTTTTTGTTAAAACTTAAAAAAGATGATCATATGAAATGATAATAACGCTGCCAACGTCAATACATGACTTAAATTAGATCAAGTCTAAGCAATCGAAATGATCAAAGAAACGGCTTTAATGATTGAATTGATTCGACTTCGGTATCTAGTTAGTGATGGATTTTTTTCTACTATTCAAATCCGATATTCTTTTATTCCTGTCATTGTCCATTGTTATACAATAACTATTCATATTCAAATTCTTTCGAATCTGCTTTGTGCTTCAAAATTATATTAGCGCGAAACATCACTAGTGAACATCTAATATAAATTTCCTTTACAAAGATCATTCCTATCGTAATAAATTCTGAGTACTTTTTTTGTAAAACAAAAAATAACATGTTTCATCTAAATTTAAGCTTCAAAGAATTATTCTTTTAATAATATCTACAAAATGTGCAGTATGTGCAAATGTACAAATATAAAAAAAACTATAATACATTATGCGTTAATATTCATATTTTCATCGTAGGTAATGCAATTTTCCCATACAAGAGAGAAGATAATAAAAAAGATATATGTATTTAAAATACATTTATTGTAAAATTTTTGCAGAAATGTTACTCTCATTTTTCACCTTTCCAAGGCATGTTATATTTTTAGAAAATATTTTTTCATTTCAATAAATCTCTGCCGAATGAATTGAAATTAGAAACGTCAGTCATTATAAGTCGCTCGTATTATTAGTTCACTTAATGAAATGTTTGACGGCGCAAGCTCGATACGTCAGCTTTATCTGGGATTTATTAGTCGCGGTATACCGTGATAGCGGTCTGTAAGGGCAGATTTCGCCCTTTTCCGGAGAGATTCATCAGTCCACGCTCGCACCATCGTAGATCAATCAACTTTTACGATCCGCCTTTCGGCTCTTATTTGCGATGCGTCATCCGGTTCTCGATCATACCGATCTCGCAATATCGACGTAATGTACTTTGACGTGTGAGAAAACACCGTTGAACTGTATGGAAGAAGAATGCGGAACACGAAAATTTTAATCATTAATCCGAATCGCGTCACTTCCGTTTAAGCTCGCGGAAAATTAAAGGGAAAAAGCTTTCTCATATCTCTCATATCTCGCGATATAAAATTCACGCTGAAATATCCACCGCGATTAATAACGCGTGTTCACCGCAATCCATATTTTATTAAACGTATTTCGCATTGTACAGCCCCCTATTTAAGATATTACAATGCGTAAGTCCAAATCCATTTTTAATTAAAAAAATTTTTAATTAAAAAAGATATATCTAAGATATAATATTGAATAAAGCGAATATTCATAAACTAGGAGAATAGAGATAGTCAGCGTCCTGGTAGTTTGCGTGACGGAACGTGAACTTCACGTAGCGTCAGGGAGATTGATTGTTTATCTTTGACGTTACTTCAAAGGGAACTAATCGATACTTTATTCTCAGCAATCTGCCCCTGATATTTCGTTGCATGGTTAATCGATATTTTACTCCCAGCGAATTGTTTATCCCTAATTTTCCGATAATTGTCTCTCGTAAATTCTCCATACTTTCTACATCGCTTCATAATTAATTTCCACACCGCATCCTTTGATCTCCGACGTTCAACGTGGCAAATTAAGCCATCAATAGATGCTTTATTGACTGAGAACTTCAATAGAGGATATTTCAATAGCAATTGCGATATGGCTTTATCATTATTATAGCTTGTTTATCCTCTATCTCTCGTTCGCTTTATTATAATATATAATCGTTCGCTTATTATAATAAATGAATCCCAACGATTGTACCATACGAATGTAAATAAATATTAACGCATTGTATATTATCTAGAAACGCTATAAATGAGAAATTAATAATTAATTATCAATTATTAATTTAATTATTACAATTTCTCTTTGGAAAATTCGTCGGCTAACCGAAAGACTAACGAGTAATCACACAGTAACAATCATCAATATTATATCAGTTTAATTAACACATTGGATATTTTCTTCTTCAACCGATCGGGAAATGTCGGAATTTTATTTATCCTTTCCCGTCATGTTAAATGTGAAAGGATATTTTTACGTACGATTGTTCGATTGTTGGGAGATCTATCCTAGATCGACCGAAGCTCACGAGTTAAAGGAACAGCGGGAGTGGCGGGACACTTTGTATGCACGCAGCAGCAGCAGCAGCAGCAGCAGCAGCAGCAGCAAACCTGACGTCACGTTGAATAACTTTTCCCCCGGGCTAATCAATCTTCGAGGCCGGATCGCGTTTTTGCTATCTGCACGCGCGATCGACGATCGATACGCGGCGTGCATCGACGCTTAATCACAATGACATGGGGAATGACGCGGGGGCCCTCGTATATTACTACGGGAGTAGCGAATGCACGGCGGGTCGATCGGATCGCCGATTGGACGACAATGTAACTGGAAACAGCGGCATATTGCTGCTTAATAGATAGGATTATCGCAGCCGCTTAATCATCGGCCGCAGCACTACAATCGCTGATGACCTGTCCAGCACAACGGGCTGTCGGCATTTCGATCGAACATGCTGCGGAAGCACCTCATTGGCAATCCTGCCCACGTAATATTGGCATTAAGGATCCATACCGGCCTGGTCTACTCTGGATAAAAAGTCCTGCGTGCGTCGACCGGGGGAATTTTTCCGCTATCAGCGATAAACGCGAGGAACACGGTGTCCTCGATAATCCGCGGGTCTTGCGCAATTTTGTTCCCCCCCTCCCCCTTCCCTTACCTCCACGGGAGGAGATGGAATTTACTTATCGGAGCTCTTTCTTATCAAAGTGTCACGTTCGACACGTTATTATCATATCTTATACGTATATTGTAACGCTATCGTTCTACCAAGGAAGAAATAACGATGCGGACAGAAAATGGCGTGTCGCGTTTTAGTTTTAGAGATTAGTCGACGCAATCTTAATTAACTCACCAGATATTGAGGAACTTCTCCCGAACTTTCCGCTTCATGCTATCGCTCTTCCGACGATACTGCAATCTGCGGCAGGAATCCATATAGATGGGCTCCGAAAGTTGCTTGTAGAAACCTGGTGAAAGATAGCGATATTCAGATTAAGCTTCCGGAAACTTTCAGATTTTGCGGCGGGAGATTGTTGCGGCGCAACAAAGAGCTGTAGAGGAGCATCGAAGATGGAACGCGGGAACGTTGGCGCAATTTTTCGCAAACTCTGCGTCATTTCACGTCGTAACGAGATTTTGTAAGGAGAGTTTTATACGCTGCGAGTTGCCTGTACACGTGCCGTCCCAGTTTTACCGGCACTCTCTCCTCATGTGTATCGGCAGATTCTTAGAAATTTTCTATCCTCTCCCGGCAAAAATTTTATAGGGGCCAAAATTATATGAGCGCATAAAACTGCAGACTATCGAGTTTTCTAAATTAAGTTTCGGCGATATGTAAACAGATTCGATTCGATTTAAGTCGGAAGGAGGGCGAAAGAGAAAGGAGGTTGACTTTAAGATGGCAATTAAACGGCCGACCGTGGAACCTTTGTTCGCCCACGCGCCCATTACGCGAACCACCCTCTATATATCGAGCTCGACTAGAAATCGAAGATAGGAATAGCTGAAACGGTTCCTTGCATGGACAAATATTTATTCAGCGGCGGCGATCCAAACATGCCGCTGTTTATCTGCTCGTATATCCGTCGCTAGCCTCAGACCGGACGGCCTCGTAAAATTTCCCGTTGAACTTTTATATCTGACCGGAATGACCGATCTATCCCATTGAGGTCTTAACGGAAAGTTCGATCCAGATTCAATATCAGCATAGAAAATAAAATCTCAAAAGAGAAAATTGTTATCGCGACAATTGCGTTGAACGAGATTGAATTGGGCGGGACATTCCGAGATTAATCTTCAACTCCAATAATAAACTGGAGATACCAAAATGTCGCAAGAAAGTGTTTTAGATTATTGTCTCTCCGATTTTCTTCTATCGTACATTATTTTTTTTCTACTCGCCATTTTTATTTATTTATTATTTATACGCCATGACAAGAGTCGTTCTTCATTAAAAATTGATCGATACATAATAAAATTGTTTAACCCGATAGAAATTGTTTAACAAGTATAATTATTTTAGTTATTATTTAACTCTACTGCATTCAAGATTAATCGATAGCTGTTTGTGTACCTGAACAGTAATAACTTTTTCAATACGCTGAGAGAGGATTGCCGTTGCGTGACAATCCAATTTCCAAACAGTCCCGAATTGTCGAGAGCGAAGGATTTGTGAGCAATTTAGACTACACTTAAACAAAGATACCAATATATTTCTATCTTTTCCGTAGTGTTAAATTATTAACGAGAATTTTTCGCATCAAACGTCACGAAAAATCTGACTTTAGGGAAAAAAAAACGATTTAAAATCCATAAAATCCATCATTCATTACTACAATTCCTTTAAACTTACATTATTATTCCATTTCCTTTACCTTTAACACGAGATTTTACGCCGGATAAGAGAGCACCGACTTAGATGCACATCCAATAAATTGAACACAAGAAAACTAGCGCGAAACAAACGGATTAAAAAGAAAGGAAAGCGCCCGTGGCGTTTTGCACCGTATACATCCATATTTATCTTCAATTCCATTTTCTTTTCGTTGTAAATAACAAAAATTTCTTTTATTCCATGCAATACGGAACAACAATTGTATCTCTCTACGGTCCTCGACGTCCTCAAATTTGACGCAAAAGAGTAATGCCACAACAATAAATTAATTTCAACATTTCGCGTACACTTCGATGCATTACGATAATGGACCCCGAGGGGTCCATTATCATACGAATAATCATTTGATATAATGACAGCACGGCCACCGGCACGGCCAGAGCGTTTCATTTCGCTAATGTTCGCTATTTATGTCAAAAGTAAGATTGATATTATCCTGAATTTCTCCGTTTTGCTGGATTATCCTATTCACTTTACCACTACGATCGTTGTCGCGAAATCCGATTACAAAGTTTACTTATGAAGTCCGTTCGGAGTTTTGCATATTAGTTATTTAAATAACCAGAGTTGGTCAATGTCGCCCCGAAATTCGAATCGTCGATTACCGAATTACAAATTACCTCCATATTCTAGCAAAGTTATAGAGAAATGTAATTAGTAATCTCGACTCTCCGTTAATCTTTAATGTACAAGGTGTCCAAGGTGAAAGGATCCAAGGCAAAAGGACTTTGGATGTAATAGGATAGTCTGGATGCAGGAACGACGTACGTGGTTACTTACTAAGCCAGCTCAGCTGATCGTTGTTCTCCAATTTGTTCTTGAAGCTGTCCACTTGGCGTTTGAGTTCTCGCAGGGCGAAAGAGGGTGTGGCGTATAAAGCTTCCTGATGCTCTCGCAGCTGCCGTTCTAAAGTCGCTACGCGCCTCTCCAAAGCCCAAAGTACCTCCGCCTCAATCACTCTCGAAGAAGCGGGGTGAGCGCCAACGATCTTGAAAAAGCACAAGCGACTAAGTAAGTCACTTAAAGCGCACACTACGCATATTCATAGCGATATTTCGCATGAAAGAAAATTTATATATTAGAGATATAATATTTCTCATTCTTCGATATATGTAAATTAATTCTTCCAGTTATTTCTTTCAACAATCACTATACATATATTTGAATTATTTAAGACTATTTAAAATAAAACAATAATAAGATATTATATTAAAACTAAACGTCCCATTAATTATTGAAATTATTAATTGACAAATTATTATATGACAAATTGCATTTACTATATTTAATGTTTACTATATTTTATCTTGAATTTTTATATTTCAACAATATTTAAAATTTTCTATCACGCACATGATTCCATCACAAATTATAATAGGAAAAAAAATATATAAATATTAAGATATAATATCTGAACGTATTTAACGTGATCGGAAAATACCTTTTGCATTTCATTAGTTTAACGAGCATATCCCTCGTAAATATGTAAACGAATACAAATGAAGCTATTACTTACAAAAGATAATCAAAGTTTTAAACTTTCCCCCAAAGTCATGATAAATTTGTAATGAATTTTACCACCAATTTTAAATCAGGTCACGTGCAACTAATTATGATAATGCTACAGTGATTATTCATCAATACAGCAGATTGAACATTCGTCATCCGGAAACAAGACATGATTCGCTTAAAATATGTGATTAGTGTCTTAATAACTGTGAAACCTGATTAAAGAACAATTTTTCCACGCATCAGACTTCTTCGAAATGTAACAAAACTCTTTCTGTCTCTCTTGCGGAGCAAAGGAACTCCGAGGAACAAATATTCATCAAAAATTATTCCGATATTTCGGCAAATATAATAATTAAATAGACTGATAAAAATTTAAATAGATAATAGATAATATGTAATACCTGAAGAACATAGGGCGTTTCGGGCGTGTTCGCCGGTAGATGAGTCGAGATATTGAGGAGCTTGTCTCCCTTGCGAAGCTTTACGATGTCCAGAGGACCAGCCTCTGCCGCGCTTCTAAAGAGTTCTGCAAGACAAACGTAGATTCTCTCTCTCGTCGATCTATTCTTTCTTTCTCCCTCAAAGATTTGTTTGCTTAAATTTACCGTCTCGATTACACCAACCGAGATGCATCGCCGTTCCTCGTGAATCATCATCTCGGACGGCGACGACGGCGGCGGCGACGGCGGCGGCGGCGGCGCGACGACGATAAGCGGGAACAACGATGTACAAACGATATTTACGAGATGCCCGGTTCCGATCCCCGCTATTAACTGTCCGTCGTTTACTACCGTTTACTATATTACCCGAGGTGATATTAACTTTATTAAACGCGCCCCGCTGGCGCACGGATCGACGGCCGTCTCCCCGGCTTCCCGGGCGGCAACGCGGCGCGTAAAAGTGACGCGTGCATGGAATCTCGCCCGTCGCGACGTACCCCTTTCCGGTCGTGTCGAGCGTGACGCTCGCGGGGGAACGGCAACGGAGGAGCGTTTTGTAAGTGCATGTTTTATTCATAATCGAAGCGCCGAGCCACCCTACGGGTGTAACGGCTGTGTATTACTGTGCCCCGATAATTACGATCACCGTCACTACGCCGGAATGACGACCATAATGTACCTCCCTCTCCCTACCTCCCCCCCCCCTGTCCCCTGTCCCCTCTATGGGCTCCATCGAACCTCGGAAAAAATTTCGGGATTAAATGGAATAAACAACTCTAAACGCCGCAATCACGATTCGTTTTATTTTCAAATTTGTAGAAAAATTAAAAACAAAAATTCACGAACGCGAAGAGAAAAAATTATATAAAAAGTATAAAAATTATATAAAAATGTAAAGTAAAAAGTTATATAAAAATCCCAGATGTTATTTTTAACGGGATGCGACGAACGCTGATAAATATTCAATTTAATATTTAATTATCAAGATTTTAAACGTTGAGGTATTAAGAATTAAAATGATGACAGAATATAAATCTTTATTAAGAATGAAGAAGTTCAGCATAAACTCTTCTCAAGGGATGCAACATCAATCTGCGTGGAATATCAGGGATCTCCCGGAATATCTCATGTGTGTATGTGAAGCGAGAGTACAGGTACTCTCCATTGTGAAGAATAATACCAAAAATTGTATAAAAATTCGCTGAATAAATGATACAATGATACCGTACTGTTTCCGTCTGCCTTATTTTAGCGCAGATACACATGGTAGTTTGAAATATTGAAAAGCTCAACACGTACGTGAGTGTATTCAATTTTAGATTCAACAGCAACATCCGACAAGCAGCTTCCGTAATAGTTAATGAATAAATTCTCGTATTTTGTATGCGTAAAATGTAAACGAATAGTGTAACAGCGGTCCAATTAGCTTGCAAATGTTATGTTATGCCGATATCATATCACATCGAAATAAAATAAATCGCACGATATTCCTACAAAACTGAATAATCTGTTCACTAATACCTGTTCAAATCAAAAGATCGATGATCGATTCTGAAACGATGCGTCTTAATGCACTGACGAAAGAAGGAGAGAGAGAAAAAGAGGAGAGAGAGAGAGAGAGAGAGAGAGAGAGTAGAGAGAG